CAGTAATTCGGTGCACTCCAGACCGTACTGAGCCGGTCATCGTAGAGAACTTGATATCCCTCCTGACATAGCTGGTGGGCCCGTAGGATATGCGACATGCTGTTGACCTCGAGAAATTTGCGGACCACCTGCGCACCGAACGTATAGCCCGCTCCACGCGGCGACAGGGAAAATTCATCCCGTTCGGTGTCGGGATCCGACCAAACCAAATCGGCCATGGGACCCTCGTGTGGAATTTCGCGGAACCGGTCGATGATTTTGATTTGGTCGATGGAGTGGATGGATGGGGATAGGCCGCCGTGGACGCAGAAGATCTGGTCATTGATGACCACGCTGAGGGTCAGGAAGTCGAACATATCCGTGAAGTAATGCCAGACGTTGGCATTGCCGTATTTACGCGCGCATTCCGTATAGAATCCATATGATTGCGTTACACCACGCGACTCGTGATTGCCGCGGATAAGATGGACGCGCTGGGGGTATCGCAGTTTCAAGCACACGAGGAGGGAGATGGTCTCCACGCTGAACAAGCCTCGGTCCACGTAGTCGCCTGTTTGAATTGGAAGAAAGAACGTCCGTCAGCACTCATGCTCACACAACCGAATTTCCCCAGGGAATCGGCACGCTTTCTCTTGTTGCTGCCCTCTTCCCCTTCTTTCCCCGCCAACCACCAGTATGATATCACGCGGAATACTAACCAAGAAACAAGTAGTTTGTATTGGGACAAAACCCTCCGATCTTGAATATCTCAATCATGTCGAAGAACTGTCCGTGGATATCTCCGACCACCGTGACCGGAGCGGCAATGTGGACGACATTGCTCTCTTTCATCAACAATTCCTTCGCCTTGGCGCATATCGCTTCGATCACCGAGTCTGCCAGCAACTCTTTCCGGTAGAGTCTCTCAATGCACTCGTCGAGGTCGATACTAGCTGATCCAATGGTGAGGGGCCGCACAGGACGAGTAGAGGGAGGAAAGCTTACCTGGTAATCCGGGCATTTCGGAACAGATAAATTGATCAACTCAGGAGATTCAAAGATATTTGTATATTCATGCAGCGCGCAACGTTCGATTGCGCTCAATAATAGAAAATGGAGGCTCAGAAGTCCACCGAAAGTCGTGTACAGGTGCCCAATAAGAAGGAGAAATGATCAACGGTTTGAAATCGCCGCTATTATAAGCGGAGAGTGAATAGTAGTTGTTCCGGTTCGAGAAGGGATATGTTTGTTTGAGAGGTTCCTGCAGTAGCTCGCATCATGGCCAACGGCACACAGTACGCAGGAGCAGGAGTGAGCGTCTCACAGGGGGGACCTGTGACCGGTGAGGGAAGAGCAGGGTCTAGACGCGGGTTCGGAGGGGTGTGAGTAAAATTTCGGGAAGCTTGCGCTGCACTTAATCCATATTTCGGAAAGAATCTGTACTTCTAACAGATGGGGATGAAGCAAACCAGGATTATCGACAGGCACAAAGCCCATTCAACCCGCCGAGGGATTCCTGGCCACATTCTGCCGGGTGGCACCGCCTGCTGTTCCGTCCGCATCATCAATGAAGTCTGGCGGTTGGTGTGAATATCCGTACATCACTTGTCTCGGTGGGTTTGCCAGCATATAACTACCAGAAGGCTACCTTGTGCATAATGCCTTTGGGATTTGGTGCCTCGGAGGTGGGCGAAAGATCTCTTGCCAGCACCCATTATCTGTACTAGAGTGAAGTATTTGAATACAGAGTGCAGGCCGTCACGTCTAGAATTGGAAGTATATCAAGTTGGTCTATGCAGCTAATCTGTACAAAAGCTCTTCCCATCTCTCCAATTGGGTATCACTGCTTCAAGAGTCCTGCACTCTGCCCCTGCTCTTCTTCATCCGTCTCGTATTCTTCATCCGTTTCCTCCTCTTCGTCCGTTTCCTCGTCCGTCACTTCCTCGTATTCAGAGTCGGTTACCTCTTCCTCTGTTTCTGTCTCTTCCTCAGTCTCCGTCTCGGGCTCCTCAAGCCACTGGTCGAGTGACTTCCCCTTCGCTGAGGAGGCACCCGCTACTCCGCGACCATCCCGTTGCCTGCCTGAAGTTGCAGCGGTACTTTCATGCTCCTTGAGGGCTCGATCAAGCCGCTCGCCCGCAGTCAATGAGGACTTTTCTACCACGTTTGGTTTAATATCGTTCTCTCGGAGGCGTGGGTCGGGCTCTTGTCCGGACTCAACCCATTCAGGGAGGCTTTGATAGCCATTCAGGCCAAGCATTCCAGCGTCGGGACCAACGACGAGGGTCGAGGAGCCAATCAGCAGATCCTTGCGTGTTTCTGACGGGCTTGGAGCGTGTGGTACGGGCTTCGGGGCAAGTAGGAGCAGATTAGCCAGTTGTGTAGAAGAAGGAGAAGCGAGCAAAGCCTTGTATAGGCGGGCACGGTCGCGGAGATCGTAGGAAGGATCATATCGAGCAAGGAGAAGAAGGTACCGCCAGAGCAGCGTCATCCTATCTTCTTCAGGTTTATCACTCTGTGGTTTCTCGTCGCCTGAATCCTCTTTCCGCTCCTCTTCGTTCTCCGTCCACTCGTTGACGATTTTCTCAGGCTTGGGTTCTGGTGGTGGCACCTCCTTTGGAGGGTTTCGCAACAGATGATGCAAATATACCTTAGCACCCAGAAGGATGATCTGCTGCTTAACGGCCTCGGATTCATTTGCAAAGTCTTGTACCAGAATGCGCAGGATATCGGCCGCAATATTTCTCTCAGGCGCGACACCAGCAAATTCTCCGACCAGCCAAACAATGGTTGCTCTGGCATCGGGATTCTTTGTTAATCCCAAATGCTTGACAAGCTGAATCACTGTCTTCTCGTGTGAAGGTGGGTCCTGCTGAATGAGGTGTCTAATAACGGTCAACGACTCTGAAACAAGATTGTCGTCTAGACTCGTAACTTGGCTCAAAAGGACGCGGAGACAATGATCAGCACTTCGAGGCTCACTCTGTGCGCAGCGCCCTATAGCACGCACGCTTTCTCGTACTAGGTCTGGGTCTGAGCTCTGAGAAAAGTGTTCCAGTTCGCTGAGGATCACGCCCTTCAAGTGCAGCCCGCAGTGGGGAAAGAGTAAAGTGAGTACTTCCAGCTTGAGGCGCCAGATATGAGGCGGATCTACCGCGTGGACCAGGAAGTGCGTAGTGTATTTCGTAAACGGCTTGGGGTGTTTTAGGGCAACGGCGACAATGTTATATAGCGCAACGTGCTGCGTGTCCTGTGGGCTCCGAACCAGCGCAACTAGAGGACCAACGGCGGCATCAAGATACTCTGGAGTGCCGAGGTAAAGGAAACACCGGACAACGCCAACAATCACAGCGGAGTTGCGATTTTGCAGCAACAGCTTGCAAGTACGTAAGAAGAACTCAAGATCAGGATCCAGCACAAGCACTTCATGCTCGCTATCATCACCATTGCTCTCCGGCGCCTTATCGTCCTCGTAGAAGCCTTCGGGAATTGCCTGTTTACCTTTCTGGACCTTGCGAGGGAAGCACTTCCTGGCGTAAAAGGTCAGAAGACGCAGTGTTGAGAGTTGGCTCCATTCGTCCATGTCGACGAGCTTCTTGACAAGGCTTCGGTAATGCTTATGGATGAGATCGATTCTGTCCGGACAAACATCTAGGAAAGCGGCGACAGCAGGCCCGAGGACAAAGTACTGGCTATCACCGAGCAAAGTAGCAAGATACCCAATCAGCTGAGGGAGTGTACTCGGGTCCAGGCGATAACACTTTGGGATTGCCAGTGCTGCGGCTTTGCGAACATGTGGGCTCATGTCGCCGCAGCCTCTTTTGATTGCAAGGGACACAATCTGACTGATGACTGGTACTCTGATTCCGGACATTGTACGAAGCGCCATAGCCCGTGAGTGGGGGTTCTGATCGGTAAGCGACTTCTGGATGGCATTGATAGATAGGAGCGCAAGGTCCGGTTCCGCCTCCGCATGATGGACCAAATAGATGTAGACCAACTTCTTAACCTCAAGATTCGAACTAGCGACGTTTTTGACCACAGCCGAGAAGAAAGGAAGGGAGGGTTCGGATCGGTACATCAACTATATGGCGCAAGAACAAAAGAGTGTTAGACAATGGATTCTTGCATTTAGGCATCCCGAGGCCTTACCGTAATCACCCGGCGCATGCCATCCAGGACCTCCCGGTCATTCCGACTATCCAGAAGCTTTTTGATGTGAGCAGTAGCCAAATTCCGAGACGATAAACCCGTGCTAGACCCCTTACTCAGGGCTGCTGATTGGGCTGCTTCGAGGGTGAGCTCACGAGCTGCTCGCACGACCAGTTAGTTGATTTGTCCAAATGCGGAGGACAATTGGCGAGCAACTGTCCGCGGTGACATTACCTGTTTCCAGCATCGTGGATATTCTGGAAATGGTCTCCATCTTGGCCCCGAGGTCCTTCGCATAGGCGCAATAACAGATCAGACCTGGGGAGGGGGATGTCCCTAATAGAGGGGAGCTGGAGGAAGTTGGGAGTTTCGCGGCGGCGGGCGGGCAGCTGACATGACGATTGGGTAACGTGCTTAACTACGGCTACTTTCCATCATCCGCTAATCCCACTTGCTATCTCGGTAACCATCACCAAAGCAGGAGATGAGGAGAACCTATTATTGTTCACCCCTCTAATCTATCATTCGTATCAATGCTATTTAATTTCTATATAGAATCTACTATTATGATATCTGCAGTAAACAACCAGATGTCTCGACGGCCTTAGGTGGGAGAGGCTCATGACTTGCGGCGTCATGTCTCTGTGATTGAGAAGTCGCTTTAGAGCATGACAACTCCATTTGTTGCTTTTACGCCCGTGCTTTGATATAGAGGAAGCAATATGCTGGATAGAGATGACGTGATCAGCGAAGTCCAGCAAATCTTGCTCATACATCAACACCAGGTGATGGGTCATGGCCTAAAGCCACGAAGTTGGCTAATTGGCTTCTATCCATAGAACGGTAGAGTAGGATGACCCCTTTATCCCAGACATCTTAGTCTACATCATTCAAACCCTCGCCATCGTGAATGATCCCTTCACAGTCTTCACTTTACTTGTGATACTAGGCACGCTGCTCGCCGTTCCCACGACGGACTCTCGTGGCACAGCATCATCGTCTCTGATCTGGGTTTCCTGCCTCGGAGGATCGCCGTCAGCATCAGCGCTTTCTAGCTCTGATACCTTCCATAATCTTACAAGCCCAAGGCAAATACATGCTGCCATGAACATGAAGCCGACAAATATCTGGGCATGCAGGAAGTTAGTTCCATTGTCGGTGCGTAGCCAAAGAGCGATCGGTTCAGCAAATGTGCTCGGGATGACGACTGAAAGCCAGAAGATCGACAACGCAGATGGTAAGAGTTGTAAACCCACAACCTCCGCGCCAACTGGAGCTTCAGTGGTCGTGAAGGTCGCAGCAAAAGGACCGCTCATTAACGCATAGAAGATAAGGACACCGAAATTTCTGGCAAAGACCCAGATGACGAGAGAAAACAGGCCAGCCAAGAAGGTACAAGCGAGGGCAGTGTTCAGCCGTCCAAAGCTATCGCTGACGTACCCTATAACAGGTCGCCCAAGGCCTCCTCCAAGATTGAACATGGCACCAACAATTGAGCCTTGAGATGCGGTCAGGGCTACGGTGGTTGCATAGTCGGGAATGGAGAACAGAAGGGCCACGTAGCCCAACACGCTAAAGCAACCCCAGGCCAAAGTGAGCAGGAATTCTAGTCTTCTTAAAAGCTCTGTATGGAAGGCGAATTGAACAGCTCCAATGGCCTTGTTTCGATCCCTTACAATGATAGCAGAGAAGCCGCACGCAGCAGCGGAGACGATCGCCAGGATGCGGAAAGCCCAGCCAAAGCCCCATCTCTGAATCATGGCACTTGTAGCCAATGAATAGATAAGGCCTCCGAATCCCGATCCAGCCGTTGCAATACCGTTTGCAAGGGACCGACGGCGGGTGAACCACTGAGGAATGATGCCAACAGTAGCACTGAATTGCATGCTCATGCCAAATCCAAAGCACAGAGCCTGACTGAGAGATAATTGCTAAACCTGGCCCACCCATGACGCTCCCAACAATGCCGCAGTCTGCAATGTGATCCCAATCATCAAGGTAACTCTTGTACCCCACATTCGGGTCGTGATTGTTGCGACTGGCGCGATGAATTGAGCCATACTGAGGGAGAAGCCTTCGACAAAGTCATAGTCGAGGTCTGATGCTCCTGGGAATGTATTTGTGTCCAGATAGTGGGCCAGAAAGACACCATAGGCCTAACTGCGACAAGAGTTAGCAAATATAGCCTTGTCTAGAAGACCATGAGTGAGGCCTTACACTGTTGATTCCCCATGTATGAGCATTGACCAGAAAGACGTACAGTACACAGATCCAGCCATAACCACCGTCAACCTCTATGGGTGATTGAGTCTGTTCGGGGTCGGCTAGCTTGTTATCGGCTGTGTCATTCTTGGATAGCACCGTCTCTGGACAGTCAGTAGAAGGATGAATGGCATCGTGGTCAGGCACAGCCGCCGTCATTGTGTAGCTTGAGTCACTGCCCTTCTCAGAATGCATATCTCTGCTCGTCACCAGCAGGAGGGCTTGAAAAAATTTTAAGACAAAATAGAATGAAGAGGAAGCGATGCCACAGTTTGTCTTTGATTGAATGGCATACTACTAGATACATAAGTAGTGATATAAGAAGGCCCGTTTAAGATATGATTATATCAGTCCCACATATAAGAAGACATTGGCAAAGTAATTGACAGGGGTCTAGTTGACTATCACTCTGATTGAGTCATACCATTGTTGCACTTAGTGCAACTATCGGACTATCATAGAAATCGCGTACCCCAGCTTGGCGTGAATAAGGCTATCTAAATATCCCTGTAGATGGCCGCCAGTCATCATGGAATCCTAGATTAAGTATGGAGACCTCTATGATAGTATCTTCCGGGAACCAGTTGCTTTAACCTTTCTTGATTCGAAGCTAATCTAGTACTTTCCTACGCCTCATTCTGCTGATAAGACACACCATCTGCTTGTCTTCAATGCCTAGAAGAGAAGATGACATGAACAGTACTAGTGTATGATCATAGACGGAGCAGGTAAGCACTGATAGTCACTAGCCGTACTAGTCAGAGTAAGGAAAGGTTCCAATTAAACCTACTAGTAGGTGGCGTGTGCTTGTTGTCTGACATATTATGATGGCTCTCGGCACCAACTGAACATAGTTCAGCTAAGTAGGTATACGATCAATTCACGGCAGCTGACTGAGCTGCATTATTCATTTCATAGTATAAACTTAATAGACATCGGGTCACGTTGTAAAGATCTAAACGAGCCTCCCTCTTCTATACTAAGTAGATGCTGCGGTAGCAATTGAAAGCACCAATCAGAAGCGCCAAATCGAACGGTTCAACCGCCTCTCCAAATCCTAGCCCAACCACCGTCTAAGTAAGTAGTAGTCATAAGTAGATAACTCAACGCTAATGCACTCCACAACTCATCCATCCATCTATTCATCCACCTTCTAATCAATCTATCATGACCCTCACCCCCCCAACCCGACAAATCTACACCATCAGCGACCGCATAACAGATTTCCTCCAACACATCATCACCCAAGATGCCCCCACCACAATACTACTCATATGCACAACAAAAGAACAGTTCCTAGAGCAGTTATTACTCGCCTCGGGCCAAGGAACTGAAGAACATCATCAACATAATCACATACTTACCAAAAACACCATCGGGGTGCTGTCCAAATCAAGCAGCATTAAGTTAGTGTACTGCCCTACGCTGGAACATCTTCGAGCGTATTTGTCTGTGGTACGATCGCCGGAAGATGGAGTAGGGTTGCAACGAGAGTTGTTGACTACTACTGCCGAGGAGAAGGGAAGGCAGACGAAACAACCATCACCACCACCACCACCACTACCTCTGATGGCTATTCTGAACCCGTTGGCTTTACATGTTCCTACTTCGGAGTTCTCTGCTCAGGGGTTGTCGAGGACGTTTGCGGCGGTGGTGGAGGTGGCGGATCGAGGGGGGATGGATCTTGTGCTGTGTGAATGTAGAAATGTTGGTGATTCTATGGAGAGTGGGAGTGGGAAGGGGGAGGGGGAGGTGTCATGGCATACGCAGGTGCCGCTGTTGAACAGCTCTGTGCGGGTTGGAGAGCAAAGTACGTCGTATCGAGGGGGTGGGGTACCAGTTAAAAGGGTCGTGCAGCGGTGGTTTGAATTTAATGATAATGAGGCTCCGATTACAGACACTACAATGATAGACGTTTGACGATTTGAATGACAGTAATAGAGCAAGATATGTACTATAAGACAATGTAAACCCCCATAATCAACCGGGTATCCTTGAATCAGCCCTAAACTCCCGATTTGACACCGTAATGAATTCCCAAATTTATAGGCATTTCTCCATGTCCGTGATATAGAGTTTGATATGTGACTCCAATTTCAGGTATTCATCGTGAGCGCTTTGAATTTCGCTTTCAATGTTCTCCTTGAGATCGGCCATCTGGGGAAGAATTAGTAAAGCATGTAAAGCCGAAGGAAACAAGCGATATTTACCTTCTTCTCAGTTTGTTCGATCCGGATTCTCCTCCGCTCCATGTCGCGCTGCTTTTCAGCTCGCTCCTCCCGGAGTTGTTTCTGGACCTCCCGGAGTTCTTCCATACGCGCCTGCGCTACTTCCGCTTTTTCTTGAGCATTCTTTCGTAGAGCCTCGATCCTCTCATTCCATCGTGCCAGCTGCCGCTGCAGCAACTTCTCGGTCTGCTCCACCTCCCTAACATTGTTCCCTCGCTCGGAAATGGCTTCTCTATTTCTAGAGGCCCTTGACTCTTCATCATCTTCCTTTTGCAGTTCCACGGATATATCTTCGAGAAGACGCACGCAGGCTTGCACGTCGTTACTAACAACCGTAAACGTGTCTGATGATGTTTGCAGAGCCCTCGCTCGTTTTTCCATCGCATCGATTTGCGCTTTCTCGCGGAGGAGATTCTCCGACAATTCACTCAATGAGGCCTGGAGAGAAATGGGGCTCTCCATTACATAAGGACGCAGTTTCTCAACTTCTTGCCGCGTACGAACGACCCTTTCCGTCTTCTCCTCGAGTTGCGCTTGCCGTCTTGCCTTATCCGCCTTGGCTCTTTCTAGCATTTCGGCCACTCGCTCCTGGTTGCGCCGCAATTCGAGCAGTCGCGCTTTCAACTCGTCGTTACGTCGTACCTTGTCCTTAACCTGTGCCTCGTTGGCCTTCATAGTCCGGCGCATTTCTTCGAGGCGCTGCTCCATCTCCTGGTTCTCCGTGTATAGGGTGTCGATGCGCGATTTGACCTTCTCGCCTTTGTTGAAGTGCTCATCAATAACGGGCGTTTGAGATTCGCGGAATCTAACAAAGTTGATGAGATAGGAGAATATCTTGACGAGTCGATCATGGGTAGGCTTGGTGAGATCGGTAAACATAAAATCATTGACGCCGCACTATATTGGCGTATGCCAAGTTAGATCCGACTGAGCTCGTCTGGTTCGGTGTAAAGCGGGTTCATACGCACCTCCATCATCAACCGCCGTAAGCTGGTAAAGAACCCCATGAGGTTGCGCGTGTCAGTAGGAACGATGTCGGGGTAGTCGCCGCAGATATCATCCGCCGCAGCTCGCATCGCTGGCTCTACGGTTTCGCGTGTCATATTCATGAGGAGCTCAGCAAACCATTCAAAGACCATCTGAATCTGTTGCGGGTTTGGCTTGATCAAGTCGGCGGCGGTAAAAGGGATGCCGATGTCATTAATGCATCCTGCAATTTCCTTGTCCGGCTGCTAGCAGTATTAGATATTGTAAGCGAAGATGCCCTGTTCGACCGTGAACTGACCAGGCGCATGAGAGCATCATTATCATCCTCCTTTTTGCGACCTCTATTGTGGTGTTGCTGGGAGCCATGGAATTGCTGGCTCATTCGGCTGCCGTACGCCATGGTTTTTCGCAGTCCAAGCTAAGATGATGAGCTACAGAAATCACTCGGACACGGCCAAGGCAGAGTGGTGGCGAGATTGGTGCCCGCTCGATGGATGTTATGATGATTGTTTACTGCGCAGGACTCGCATGGCAACCAGAAGCGGATTAGCGCGGTGGGAGAGGGGCATCACAGACAAACAATGCAAACTTACTCCACGCTTCCCTTTTTCGATGACTCTTTGCGGCGGCCACAGCGGAATTACCTGTGGACAGTGAACCAGTGTCAGAGAGTGCTTTCCTGCTGTGAACGCGAGGTTTTCCAGCTCACGGCTCTCAACCTCTCGGAGTATTATAGCTTCTCGGCGTTCTTTGAACATCATGGCAGCTCCCACATCAGGCTCATCGGCCGCCGCCAAGCCGTTCGAGTAAGTCACCTACTTCACATCCAGGAAGTTCTAGTCCTTTGGATCGCTAACATTTGTTCTTTCCAGCATTGTCGCGACCTACAATGACTTGCTCCGCTCCGACCCCGACCTGACTATGCCAATTGCAGCTATCGAAGCTCTGGTACTACTCCTTACAAACTCTCCCTCCTCGACGATATCCGAGACGCTCGACCTTCTCGAGAAATCTACTGCACACCTGAAACAGTCGATTCCGAACCCCATTGGTCTCTCCGCTGGAACCGACCTCTTCCAGCGGTACCTGATCACTACCCTGCAGAGACCCGGACAGCTCGGGCCCGCAGGTGATTTTAACGCGATTAGGGCGCATCTTCTGTCCAACGGACGGTTGTTCATTAGACGTGCGAAGGAAAGTCGAGACAAGATCGCGGCGTTTGGACGAGGATTTGTACGCGATGGAAGCACAGTTTTGACGAACGGAGGATCGCGAGTTGTCGCTTCGTTGCTACAGAAGGCTGCGGATGAGAAGGGCGGCCCGTCGGCAGTGCGGTTCAATGTGATCTATGTCCTGTCATCGGCGAAGGGTACTGGTGCGCATTCCGATGAGCCGGAGGGTATGGAGACTGTGCGCGCTCTCCGGGCGAAGGGTGTTCCTGTCGCTACGATCCCGGAGTCGGCTGTTGCATACTCGATGGGCAAGGCCGATACTGTCATTGTCGGTGCCGAGGGTGTGGTTGAAAACGGTGGAATCGTGTCGCGCATGGGAACCTACCAGATCGGTCTTCTTGCTAAGGCTATGGGCAAACCCTTCTACGTTGTGGCGGAGAGCCACAAGTTCGTCCGTCTCTACCCGCTCAGCCAGTATGATTTGCCGATTGAGCAGCGCGTGATCGATTTCAAGACTGAAGAAGATGTTGCCGACGAGGCGAAGCAACAGCAAGCTTTGTCTACGGATGCAGCTGTTGCCAAGGCCGTCAAAACGGCAGACAGTGCTGATGTAGTTGACTTCACTCCCCCCCATCTGATCTCTGCCTTGATTACCGACAGCGGTGTCTTGACGCCAAGTGCGGTCAGTGAGGAGCTGATCAAGATTTGGTTCTAATTTTCTATTTCCATTCCCTGTCCTTCCATACAGGCACGAGGCGTGGAGCTTGTGATGTCTTTTAAAAACTGAATGAAGCGGATTGGCGTTAAG